GCAAGGGGGGAAGGAGAGCACACGCGATCATCCGTGGTGGAGCCTTGGCGCCCTACGGCTACACTTTCTCGCGACGGCAACGTTTTGGCTGACCCCTTGTCTCTTTGAGACGCAGAAGCACGCATGTTTTCAAAGCTTTGGCACGCGTCCTCCACGGTCGAGGACGAGCCCGAACATTTTGTGCCTATGGATGCTTTGCCAGAGTTATCTCCAGACAGCGACCAGCCGCACTGATGCTGAGCACACGGGCACATCAGTCGACGGCTTCCATATGCGCCACTGTGCATCCATGAGTGACCAGTGCTTGACGGTGCTCAGCATAATGCTCACTATCATGGAACGGTCAGGATTGGTGCCGAAGCAACTGCAAGTTATTTTGACGGCCTTGTTGGCCAAGCCTGCTGGCGGGTTCCGACCTATAGGCATTTTTGTATCCTGCTACCGTCTGTGGGGCCGGTGCCGAAGGGGTCTTGCATCCGCTTGGGGGGCTGAGTACGAACGGGATTATCTAGCTGGGAGCAGCTTTTGCATCGGCATCAGATGTAGTATGGCGCCAGGCTTTCCGAGCTGAAGCAGCTCGACCAGCAGGCGAATCCGCAGCGACACGGTTAGGATTTGTTTAAGTTCTACGAGCTGATCCCCTTAGACATACTGTACCAGCGTTGCCTTGAGGTGAGCTTCCCGTTGCCCTTAGCTCGGCTGGCTAGTTTCTTTTACCGCACGCCTCGGTTTCTATCCATGGGTGGCTTGGTGACTGGCCCATTTCGGGCCACGCGTGGTATTATTGCTGGCTGTTCGGTTGCTACAACGTTGATCAGAGTCTTCGTTGTTAAGAGTATCGATAAGGCGGTCCTGCCATGCCAAGTTAGCTTAGATATCTACATGGACGACTACGGCATTAACGTTACTGGTAGTGATAAGGTGGTGCATGAGGGAATCGTCAAAGGCTCGGCCATCATTCACGACGTCATTCTCTCAGACCTGCACGGCCAGGTTGCGATCGAGAAGGCGGCGCTTGTTGCATCCTCCCCGCTTCTGGCCTGTCGGATCCGTGCGGAGCTGGGAGACCTTGCAGGCGCGGGCTGCAACTCTGCGGTCAACCTCGGCATCGACCACACTTGCGGCCGTGCGTTCCGTGCCAGTGGCAGATCAAAGAAGTTTAAGGTTCGAGTTGCTGCTTGGAAGAAAAAACGGGACCGCCTGAAGAAACGCAAACCTGTCCTGGGTAGGTTTAAGAAGCGTATTTTCGTCTCGGGTCCTCTTCCTGGACTTGTTTACGGCAGCGAAGTTCGAGTTTTTTTTTCTTCGGAGTATGAATTAGCTATGACCAGACGTTCGTTTGCAGCAACTTGCCAACCGAGTGCTGGACAGCGTTCGCTGACATCGCTTTTGGTTTTGAAGAAAGACCTATGCTGGCGCGCCGCAGTTAGTCCAATAGAGAGATATTCAAAGGAAGTTTGGGCCGCTTTGACAAACTCTAACCCCTTTCTGCATCGGTTTTCGTGAACTCCGTGAAGGTTGGGAACAAGTTTTTGAGGGTTTGCCCGATCCTGGATCCTGGAGACGTGTTTCTGGACCGATTTCAGCGATGAAGAAGTCTCTGCAGAGGATAGGCTGGTGCATGCGTTCATTCACCGAGCTTGTCGATGACGTTGGAGTGGTCATCCAGATGACGCTGTGCAGCCCAGCTTTCATCAAGCGCGCTCTGCACGCCGCGGTCTTGCGCGTGCTGGAGAGGCAGGGCGCTTCCAGTTTGCCCCCGTCTGTCCCTTCCTGTGCTACGACCAGGTGCGGGCTCAGCTAAATTCTAAGAAATACACGCCTCTCCAGAAAGGGTGCATGAAGGCCATGAGTTGTGGGGGGCTCTGGACGAAGGAGGCGGCTGCTCAGAGGGGGCGCAAGCAGGCCGACACCCATTGTGAGTTATGCAAAGAGGCCCCAGACACTGTTGTGCACAGGCTGTACTTTTGTCCCGGCTGCGACGAGGAGCGCGAAGAAATTTTGGAGAAGCTCAAAGATAACCGCCCCAACCTCAGTGAAATCGACTTCCAGGGCCCCGCTGAGCTGCTGCTTTTCACTCGAGGAATATCTGGACATCCAGGTGATACATATCCGCGCCCCCTCTCAGAAGGAGAATTGCAAGTAGTCTGGCCTGATCGAGAAGGCCATTCAGTCATGGAAGCGCAAGGCGACTTTCACTTCCGCGGCTGCTGCTTCAGACATGTGATTCCAGAACTGTCCAGGGGGGGGTGGAGTTGTATATGCTACGATTCCGATCAGAAGGTTTTGTGCTACGCTAGCGCCCCGCTCTGGGCCCCGAACCCTCAGACCCCCCAAGCCGCTGAATGTTTGGCCATCTGTGCTGCGGGACAGGCTGCGATTCCTGAATCCAATGGGTTCTCGGACTGCCCCAACGTAGTTCGGCAGTTTCACATGACGACTAAAGAACAGCTGTCATATAAACGTCCGTACAGCTGTAGTTTTTTTTGATATTGCAGCCCACAGGACTTAAGTCTGTCACTAAAGTCAAGGGGCATGCGGTAGATGATCCTGATATGTCTGAAGAGCAGCGATATCACAAATTAGGCAACGATACGGCTGACCTTCTTGCGAAGGCGGCCGCGGCACGGCATCCCAGTCCCTCGACTGACCAGGTCGAGAAACTTTCCCGCCAGCTCAGGATGTCGAAGCTTGCGTGCGAGTTGGCGGGGAAGTTGCTGCCCCTCTGGCCCCGTCTCGACCTGTCTAGTGCTGAGTATATCAAGCCCCCATCCCAGCGAGGTCTAGTACAGTTGGCCACGCTTGGAGTTGGCAAGGGAGGTTCTGGCAGTGCGAGCGTTGTTTCCGTGGATCCAGGGCCACCCTGTGTCCTCTCCCTGGGGTTTGCCGCGGGGGTCCTGGGGTGGGCATCCGTGACTTTGACGGCCCAAAACTCTTGGAGCTCGGGCACTGCATGATTTATCTGGAAGCGAGTGATCACTCGTTTGTTTTTGTCTGCCTCCGCTGCCAACATTATACCTGCCGAGGTCAAGTGCGCGGTCTCCGCCGTGAGTGTTGCCCCCTCCCCCTGAAGGGGGCCAGTGGTCGCAGATGCTCATGGAAACGCATAACTCAGGGCCTCCATCCCAAGCACGACGGTGTGACAGTTGACGTCGGGCCTTGGTCTAACGATGTTGAGGGCTGAGTTATCTCGGAGTTTTTGTCTTTTCCTCTCTCTCTCTCTCGTTTCCCTGTGTGTGCGTGTGCTTTGATGTTAAAAATCCTCCTCCTCCTCTGCCTCCTCCTCCTCCTCCTCCTCCTCCTCCTCCTCCTCCTCCTCCTCCTCCTCCTCCTCCTCCTCCTCCTCCTTGCCCCCTCCAACTTATGGTGGTGGTGGAAAACAGGCCCATCAGCTGTCCCATGTCCTCGGCCAGGGCTGCGCCTTCGGCTTGGACTCTGCCTCGGCCTCGGGCCTCGGCGAGCCGCCTCCGCCTCCAGGCCTCGGCACGGCATGGCGAGGGTCCACGGCGCAGCACCGGGCGTGACGCCGAAGTCGTTGGTGCGTGGCCAGGATGACGGGCCTGGTTTTCCATTACACCATAAGGTGGAGGGCGGAGGAGTTCCTTTTCCTCCTCCTCCTCCTCCGCCTCCTCCTCCTCCTCCTTCTCCTCCTCCTGTTCGTGCGAGACCAGGATGACGGGCTTGTTTTCCATGACCACCACCATAAGTTGGAGGGGGGAGGACTTCCTTCTCCTCCTCCTCCTCTTCCTCCTCTTCTTCCTCCTCCTCCTCCTCCTCCTCCTCCTGCGTGGCCAGGATGACGGGTTTGTTTTCCATGGCCACAACCATAAGTTGGACGGGGGAGGAGTTCCTTCTCCCCCTCCTCCTCCTCCTCCTCTTCCTCCTCCTCCTCCTCCTCCTCCTCTCCTCCTCCTCCTCCTCCTCCTCCTCCTCCCTCCTCGTGCGTGGCCAGGATGACGGGCTTGTTTTCCATGACCACCACCATAAGTTGGAGGGGGAGGAGTTCCTTTTCCTCCTCCTCCTCCTCGTCCTCCTCCTCCTCCTCCTCCTCCTCCTCCTCCTTCCTCCTCCTCGTGCGTGGCCAGGATGACGGGCTTGTTTTCCATGACCACCACCATGAGTTGGAGGGGGGAGGAGTTCCTTCTCCCCCTCCTCCTCCTCCCTCCTCCTCCTCCTCCTCCTCCTCCTCCTCCTCCTCCTCCTCCTCCTCCTCCTCCTCCTCCTCCCTCCTCCTCCTCCTCCTCCTCCTCCTCCTCCTCCTCCTCCTCCTCCTCCTCCTCCTCCTCCTCCTCCTCCTCCTCCTCCTCCTCCTCCTCCTCCTCCTCCTCCTCCTCCTCCTCCTCCTCCTCCTCCTCCTCTCCTCTCCTCTCTCCTCTCCTTCCTCTCCTCCTCTCTCTCTCCTCTCTCCTCTCTCCTCTCCTCTCCTCTCTCCTCTCCTCCTCCTCCTCCTCTCCTCCTCCTCGTCGTCGTCGTCGTCCTCCTCCTCCTCCTCCTCCTCCTCCTCCTCTTCCTCCTCCTCTTTGTCCTCCTCTCCCTCCACCTCCCCCCCCCTCCAACTTGTGGTGGTGGTGGTGGAACGCAGGCCCATCACGGGACTCCGAGCGGGGCGCTGGCACCGCACGACCTGCGTTTGGCACGAGATGGGCTGTTTTGGGGCGGCCGCCGCAGCTCAACCCTGACGTTTCCGCGGCAGCCCTCTGGGTTGGGTGCGCTCCCCCGGCGCCCCGTCGAGCGGGGTGCTGGTGGCCGGGCGGGCTCGCCGCGCCGTGCGACTCGCCCCCGCGAGGCGTCTCGGAGGACGCCGGGGGCACGCTCGGGCCTGCCTGCAGGCAGCCCGATGCCCGAACCGAAACGGCCAGGGAGGGAGGGGGGAGGAAGAAGGGAGGAAGGGAGGGAGGGAGGGAGGGAGGGAGGAAAAGCAGGAGGCTGGGGAGGTGGGGCGCAGCAAGCTCGAGGAGCGGGGCGGGCCTGTGCTCGGGACTGGCGCCCTCGTCCGCCAGGTGGAGCGCGGGAAGCGGCAGCTGAAGACGACGCTTTTTGGCAGCCTCGACTCCACCACGGCCATCGCGGAGGAAGCCCGGGGCCTTAGAACCCAGACGGTTGGCGACTTCAGGGGAGAGCGACCCAACACTGACCAAAAAGGTGAGGTTAGGGATAGGACGAGGATGGATCTGTTCCAGAGCGTCCAAGGACACTCGGAGCGATTCCGAACGCTCTGAGAAGGCCGCGGCGCCCGAGAAATCCTCCAGAGCCGCCGGATCTCGGAGAATCTCGATTTCTCCTCACCCGATTTTATCCTCGTCCTGGCTTCAACTTTTGAGGGGGGGGTCGGACGTTTTCTCAGGGCCCCAGTGGCACCTTCCAAATGCGTCCGCCACACCTATTTCGGCACACCCCTAACACGTTTCGGGGCCCCATGGGAAGCTCCACCGAGGGCCCCAATGCCACTGTCCACATGCGTCCGCCACACCACTTTCGGCACACCCCTGACACGCTTCGTGGCCCCATAGGAAGCTCCACCGAAGGCCCCAGTGGTGCTCCGTAGCCATTTTGGCTCAAGGCTCCCTGCTTGGAGGACTGGCAGCCTCCTGGCAACAACGGGATAGCTCTGTTTCCCGAGTTCGCGATTCAGTTTCTCGTGCAGCCAGGTCCGCCCCTGGTCTTCACCTGCCTCCCTCAGCCCAAGGGTGCGCAGTCATTCCAAGTGTCTTGCTGGTCTCGTGGGCCCTCTGGCTCTCATGGCGAGGTGCTGGCAGTGCGTGCGTTGCGGTGGCTATGCGCCCCAGAATCTTTCACTCTGCCTCAAGGGTGGCTGCAAGGGCTCCCAGAAGTACTACAACATTCCAGCAGCAGGAGACGGCAACCCAAATCCGTGGGGCAACAAGTGGTCTGTCGGCGGTGGCAAGACTGGCGCTCATTGGATGCAACAGCAAGGCAAAGGCAGCGGGCGCGGAGGTCGTGGAGGCAAAAGGCTCGGGCCTAGCGGCGGAGGGCCCTCGTCTCCCGCGACTCTCACCCTCTCGGCTGACAAGATCGCAGCCTATGCAGCGATGGCCATGGAGTCCTGCATCATCGTCAATGACCAGGTTTCCTAGGGCAGCCGTGACAATATCGAGCTGGCACGCCGAGAAGCAGCCGCTGGGGTCTTGGGCTCGGGAACTCGGAAGCTACCCCCTTGCAGTTGACGCGGCGTCGCTGGCCGTGGCCGACGCCATCGCTAAGCATGAGCGCCTTCTCGAGAATTCTCGCAAGGCTCTGGAGGCGGTGGCCGAATCCGAGCGGGCCCTCGCCGAGCGCAAAGCCGACCTCGAGGAGGCCAGGAAGCAGGCAGCGAGGCTCTACCCTTCCACCACGGCCGGATAGACGCTTCGCTCGGTCAAGGAGAAGGTAGCAGGCACCCCCACGGAGGGCAAGTCGGGGGCCAAGGTCTTGGCCAGCCTCTCGGCCCTCGTCGACGAGTTGGCAGCTGCAGCAGCACCTCCTCCAGTACCAGAGCCTCCGCCAGGTGGCAACGGCGCTCCAGCCGCTGGGGCGGCAGCTGGGGCAGCTGGGGACACAGCTATGGGCGAGGGCGAAGACGACTTCGACAAGTTCATGGCAGGTGAGGACCCAGGTGGCCTCTTGGGCAGCGCAGCGGGCGAGAACGAAAATAATCGGCTCCAGGAGGCGCTCGACACCATCTGGACAGCCAAACGCACCAAGAGCTCAGGTGGGTAGTGGACGCGGCGCTGGGCTTGGTGGCAATCATTCTTCTTTGCTGCCCAAGAGGGCAGGTGCACAGGCGGGGCGCTGGTGGGTTGGCCTCGCCGTCAGTTGCAATGCATGGTCGCGCTTCTCCCACCAGCCCCTGGGCGCGGCCGCGGTCAGGTACAGCGACTTCGTCGCCGTCCAGGAGACGCGCCCCGACGCCCGTCGGACTCGTGACGTTCAAGGGCAGCTCCACAGGCTAGGATGGGTCTCGGAAGCAGCGCCGGCGATCAACGCTGGTCCAAATGGTACCTCACCATTTTGGGGTCGGGCCGTTCGAACTGCTCGGTGAGCCGTCTGCGCTGGTGCCTGGGCGCGCTATAATCTCCCACTTCAACGGCGTCTGCAGAGGCGGCATTGCTTGGGCCAACCTCTACTTGGAGGTCAGCGTCAGCCTCGACAGGAGCAACGCCGACACGCTGCGCGAAGTGCGCAGTGCCCTGGAAGCGGCCAACAGGCAATTCGTGGTCTGCGGTGATTTCAGCATGGGGCCGTCTGTCTTAGCAGAGTCGGGCAGGCCACGGGCGGCCCAAGCAGTCGTCGCGGCTCCCACGGAGTGCACGTGCAGGCCTGCCGGCCACATCATCGATTTCTTCGTGGTATCCAGGCTTTCCCAAGGGGCCAAGGCCAGTGTGATTCACGGGCGTAACCCCGGCCCGCGCTTTCCTGTCGCGCTCGATCTGATCGGGCCAGACAAGCGCCAGAGCGTCGCCGTCATGCGCTCGGCGAAGCGGCTGCCGCTGCCCAGGCCTCTGGTCTTCTCTGCCAGGGATCGCGCCCCTGGCTGGCTGGCAGCGCGCGGCCTGCTCGAACAGACCAGTGGCCTGGACAGCATGTGGCAGATCTTCATCAGGCATGCGGAGGTCAACATGGGCGTCGCGCGCGGGTCATCCACGACCTCGACAGGTACACGAGGAGAGCGGATCGCCCCAGGCTTGCGCGTGGTCGCGTCAGCTACAGCCCCGTCGCCTCCGAGGCACTTCTCCCTGGGCCAGGTCGAGACCCTGAGCACAGCCTTTTTTCCTGGTCCGAGGCTTTGGTCATGGCTGCCCTCGATCAGGCGCGGCGCAACTACAACGACCGGGTGCTTCGCTTTGTGGCGACGGGCTCGGGCGGCGTCCACGCGGTTGCCATGTCGGCGCAAACGTGGAGTGCGCTGCCAGCTAAGGCCGACGGCGAGGCGCCGCTCACGGCGCAGCGGAGCTTCACGGCCTTCGCCGACGAGTGGACGACGTACTGGGACGTGGTCGCGCCCACCTCGAGTCAGGCAGTTGCTGCGAGAGGCCCCTCGCGAGCCCGAGCCCGAGCGGCACCGTCTGGGGAGAGCGCTCCGATCGGCCATTTGTGGCAGAGCTTCGGAAAGTGATCTCGTCGTTCAAGCCGCAGTCTGGGTCCAACTTTGACAGCATTCGACCGAGCGAATTCAATGTGTTGGATGACCAGGCTATTGAAGCTCTCGTAGGTTTGATCATGGCCATCGAGCAGCAGGCCGCCTGGCCCAGCTCCATCGGCAAGATGGCCTTCATTCCCAAGGCTGACCGAGGACTTCGGCCCATAGCTTTGTCGGCAGCATTGGTCAAAGCTCACGGCAGGCTGCGTAGACCACTCATGCAGCAGTGGGAGAAGGACAGCGACAGGCCGCATTGGCGGGCATGCTCAGGGCGCTCGTGTGACAGAGCGGCGTCGCAGCAGCAGGCGCGTTCCGAGCGGATTGCTACGATGGCAGACCTTCATCCTGATCAAGATTGGGCGTCAGCCAGCATCCTGCTGGATCTCTCGAAGGACTTCGAGCTGGTCTTTCATGCGCGCCTGGGCCGCATCCGTCAGGTTCAGGTTTCCACTCTGGCTGGCCAAGCTTCAGGTCTCGCTCTACCTTGCACCCAGGGTGCTCCACCTGGACGGCTGCTGCTCGCAGGAGTTGGAGGCGCCCCAGACGGCCCCGGCTGGCGACGCGTTCGCCGCTGGGTTCATTTCGTTGCAGCCGCTCGACGACATGGGTTTGCGATTCGGGGCCGTCGCTCCAACGATCGTGCTGGATGACTTTGTCCTCCAGCGCTGGGATGGTACCCAGAGGGTCCAGGACGACCTGGACGGCGCCGCTCGCCTCAGCTCAGACTGGTCAAGCTCAAGGTCGCAGTAAGTCGAAGGTTCTGGCTGACACAGGCCGCTTGCGCAGGCAGGTGGGCAGACGGCCGCTTAAGATTGCATGCGTTCAGGGCGCCCGGCATGCGCGCAACCTGGGCATTGATCACGCAGAAAGGGTTCCGTGTAGCCAGGGCTCCCAGGCAGCAGCGGTTCGCAGACGTCGGGTTGCACCTGCGCGATGCGAGGGGCTGCTTGGGCTTGCGGCGCGGGCGCGGCGGCGGCCAAGGCGGCGTTCACGGGGCTCCATCCCTCTGCTATGCGCGGGGTCAATTGCACAGGCCACAGCCGCAGCGAGCTCTCCAAGATGAGGTCGATCACGCTGCGCGCTGCAGGGCAGCGGCCCTCAGGCAAAAAGAACGTCACGGCTGTTCTGACGCTGGCAGGGTCCACGACGATCGACGCGATCTTCGCGGCGACATTGGGGCCAGTAATGAGGCTGGTCAAAGCTGTTTGGGGGAAGTGGATCCCGAGCACCATCCTGCAGAGCACGTTCGAGTGGAACGTCCGCGCCGCCAAGCATCGGGGTGATGTGCGAGGGCCGCTCGGCGCAGCAGTCATGTCGCTCCGCCGGATCGGCAACGCGCTCGGCCCCTTCACCCACTGACTCACCGATGCGGGCGAGCAGTTCAACATGGCGACAAGCTCCCCCTGGACCGTCAAGCAGTTGCGCACGAGGAGCTTGGAAAGGTAGCAGCTAGCTCAGTTGGCGAAGTCCACGCATCACGACATCTATGTTGCAGGCGGTGTCTTTCCGCCGCAGCTGCGTCGCTGGGTCACGGCGGGTCGAGGTTCAGCCGAGATCGCCAGGTCGCGGCGCTCGCATGCGCCAAGCGAAGCGTGACATGCCAGGTCATGTGTCGTTGATTGACGGCGAATGGCTCAACGAGCGGCGGTGTGCAGCTGGCCCCAGCTCCTATTATGTCTGCCCGCTGTGCCCTGGCAAGCTGGGCACGCTCTTGCATCGCCACCTGGAGTGCCATGGTTCGTGGCCCGACCTCGCGCTCTCCGCCGAGATGGAGCGGTTCCTGGACAGAGGCGACTCCATCACCATTCGCACGTTGTTGGAGAGGCTCTGGCGACCAGAGCCGCTCGCTGACTGTGGGCCCCTTGCTGACGACATCCCGGCGCGCGCGCAGTGGATCAAAGGCTGCGGCGAGGGCGCGCCGCTTGCAGAGTCCGGCC